TGGGGATGATGATATGGATATCTCCTGGAGCTTGCTCGGTCAGAACTGGTATCGGCCCATTACAGTGGCACCAAGTTCAAGAAAGCCTAGCCAAGCATCGTCGACAGCCTTCTAAGAAGAGTGCTGGGACACAGGCCGATGACGTTACCCGGCCAACCGACTTGCTGACTCTGGTAGACAACCCTACCCCGTATGCGGAAGCTCTCGACAGTCATCACCACTGTAACGTTTTCCCCTTCTCTGGAGCACCCGAGTGTCTAGCCGGTCTATCCCCTGCTATCAGTGATCTGCAGTCTGATGACAGCCCAATCCTTAGCCAGGCTTATGACCTGTCCGAACCCAAGGTGGATACTCCATCCTCTACTGAGGAGGGCACTACTCAGGCGACGGACTTCGACCTGCCCTATAGTGAGCTGTACTCTCAAGGGCCTAAGGATCTGCTCGTCTCGGTCGACAAGGGTCCTATAGTACTCAAGAATGGGAAAGTCATCATTGCTCGCCGTATGACCATGCAGCTGCCCTTCATTGGTGCTGGTCGTACTCCACCCTTTCGGTTGAGGCAGCTCATCCGCCGTGACTTGGCCCTGCTCAGCCGATTGCAGCAATCGGGTCATCTCGAGATTTATGACGGTCTTCTGGACTCCTTCAAAAAGGCCCGCTATATTCGGCCCGTGACGACCACTGATGTCGAGGCCGACCTAACTGACTCCTACTACATGCCTCACTTCCCAGTGTTCACTGCTTCCAAGACCAGTCCGTGCCGTCCGGTGTGGTGTGGTAACGAGCTCTCCTCCTACCTCTGTCGCGGATATATCTCAGATGTGGAGGCTACCATTATCAGTTCATGGATGGCGCTGCGCACTAGCCCTTTCTATGCGACCACAGATCTCAGCCGTGCGTTCTACTCGCTCAAGGTCAAGAAAAGTGATCGCAAGTACCAGCGCTTTATCTACCGTGGATCTGCCTTCGAGTTCGCCGTTGTCATGATGGGTTTGCGTCCCAGTCCGGCCATGCTTATGCGAGCTTTGCGTCCTATCGCTTCTCTGGCAATGTACATATTGACGTTTCTCTTCGGTGACCCCGGTCCGCAGGGATCCGCTATCGATCCTGCTTTTGTTCGGCCCGGACCGATCACTCGCCACTTTGCCACCTACGGAGACTTCTCCAGTTACAACACGGCGCTATCCTGGTTGCGTCTATTCCTGGATGATGCTACGCTAACGGCTAAAACAGAGACTGCAAGATCGACGGGCATCGAGGTCTTCAGAGGAGTCGCCAGATACTTTGGTTTCCTTTGTGAAGAAGACAAAGAGAGCGATGACACTAGTGCTGGCGTAGTGAAGCATTTGGGTGTTCTGATCCACCACGGCTCCCTGATATCACCGGTCCGCGTGGCACCCCTATCCTCTCT